TTTTATAAACCACTAGTCATTGTTTTTCTATGGAAGATGTCAAGCACATCTGAAGTGATATTTATATAATATCCAAATAACCAATTGATCAGTGAAAAATTTAATTGACCTCTCCTTCCTTCCCTCCTTTTTTCTTTCTTTCTTTCCTCTTCTCTTTCTTTCTTTCTTTTTCTTTCTTTCTTTCTTTTCCTTCCCTCCCTTTCTTTTCCTTTCTTTCATTTTTCTTTCCCCCTACATTTCTTTCTTTCTCTATCCATTTTTTTCCTTTTCTTCTGCATTTCTTTCTTCCTATTGGCCACTAAACAAGTTTGATGGATTTCCCCCTTGATTTTGGCTGAATTAACCAGATATTTTGGTATTATGCAACACAACTCATCTATGAGAAGTTAACTAGATTTCTTTTTTGTTTGTAAATTTTTAAAGCCAATCCCATAACATAAGGAATTTAAATATAAGGGGTAAAAGGAAGGGGAAGGGAAGAACAGGTAAAATAAAACCTAACAACTTACATATCAAATTTCAGGCAGGAGGATTTTTGAAATGTCAAAGACATTAGACCCCCAAAACATGATTTTGTGGTACAATTAAAATGTCAACAGCCTTCAGATGAGCCCCACATCTGTAAAGGGATTTCTACTGTTTTTAAGGAAAAGTAGCTTATAACCAAATTCAACATTGAAACAATAATCTGAACCTATTTTTCTAAAGATACTATGTTCCAGCTTTTAAATATCTTCTGTACATTGATTTCATCTGAGAAGTAAAATTAATTTACTTTTGGAATCGTTTCTTAACTCCCATTGTTAAAATAAATTGAGGTACCCAGACTTAAATTTGGAAAACGTTTTTAACCTTATGAAAGTATTTTCCAAAAGTAACAAAGACCAGCTTATATAAGCTTTTATCTGACCTCTACTTTTTAAATAAAAAAAACATGTTTTCAGGGAAATGTGTCTTGGAAGGAAAAAAAGGATTTTTCCCCTAAGATTCTTGTAAAACATTAGGTCACTTGGTTCAGTCAGGGCAGTTTCTTTCTTTCTTTCTTTCTTTTTTTAATGGTCAAAATGTTTTAAAATTAAAACCCATTGTGTTCAAAGCTATTTCAATAACAATAATGTTTTTTTAATTTAAATATCTTGAAATTTTCATGAAATAGTTCAAGCACCTTGAGTAAAACTTAGAATATTGGATATACTTTATATTAAAAATAGGGACAGAAATATTAATCACCATAAAAAGCAATGATACCTTCCTAATAGTGATAAATACGTGAAAAATAAATATTCTATTGGAATATGGAACATAAGCAGACTTAAATAAAAATTGCTCTTTTTGTAGCAGAGGTTTAGAGAGAAACAGATTATTGATAAATGAATTCTTAGAGATGGAACTCCTTCTAACCAATGCGGTTGAGCTACTATATTGCAACTTGGAGACTTAGAGGGAAATTTCCAGGACACTGAAAGGTTAAGGGACTTGTCCTGGGTCATATGGTTAGTATATGTAAAAGGGAAGACATTATGTATGTTTAAAACATTTCTCTGATGTGTCAGTGAGATTTGGTGTAGTAAATAAGTTTTCAGGAAAACATAGATTCCAGACCTCTATGAATAACTAATTGTGTTACTTCAGTTTCCTATTCATTCAACCACTCTTGGCATCACTTTCTTCAGCTGTAATGTGACAGGGATGTACTCAAAGACCTTTAAGATCCTTTTCTCATATTATGCCAATCTACGTACTCTATGTTCCAGCTAAACTATGATATTCTCAGTCTTCAGAACACACCCTGTACCTTCCTGCCTTGGGTGACTCTGTCCACATTGTTCCCTGCTCTTGGAATGCATGAGAATCCCCATCTTTGCCAGCTGAAATCCCATCCATTCTTTAAAGCCTAACATAAATGCCTCCTCCTCCATAAGGACTTCCCATACTCCTTATTGGGATGTTTACCATTAAACTTCACATGAAAGAATGAAGACTAGACAGAGACAGAAACAGAGAAAGACAGAAAGAAAGAAAGAAAGAAAAAGAAAGAAAAAGGAAGGCAGGCAGGAAGGAAGGAAGCAAAAGAAAAAGCAAGCAAGCAAGAAAACAGGTACTCTGCTAAATTGCTAAATGCTAGGGAAACATCTGGTTGTTGTTCTTCATTCTTGAGGAGGATCAAAATCACATCACTATGTTGGAGTCAAGGTACAATGTGTCGACTATGACTGATCAGACCAATAGGAGCTCAGAAAACTTTACCACAGGTCAGGCACAAATAGTGCATATGAATATTTGGAGTGGAGATGTCTATAAATTTGTGCATCTCATGTTTCCTTTGAGCTACTGCAATTCTACTTTGCTCATAGAGCACAGTGCCTTCTTTGATTTGGGCATGCCGTGCTGGGTGGTCCTTTGCCAGCAACTCCCCTTTCACACAATCAATTCCAAAGTTCTTTAGATAGACCTTGGGAATATCCTTGTATTGCTTCTCCTGACCACTGATGAGTGTCTGCCTTACAAGAGTTCTCTATAATATAGTGTTTTAGGCAAACGTATATTTGGCATTCAAACATGGTCAGCCCCTCAGAGTTGTCCTCTCTGCAGTAGTGTTTGAATGCTTGGCAGTTCAGCTTGAAAAAGGCCCTCAGTGTCTGGTACCTTATTTTGCCGGGTCATCTTCAGAATCTTCCTAAGACAATTTAAATGGAAGTGATTCAGTTTCCTGACACAGCGCTGGTATACCGTCCAGGTTTCACAGGCATGTAACAATGAGGTCAGCACAACAGCTCCGTAGACTTTTAGTTCAGTAGGCAGCCTAATACCTCTTCTCTCCCACACTGCCCTTTGGCTTCCCAAATACTTAGATAGCTCTGGCAATATGTGCATCAATCTCATCATCTATGTGTACGTCCTTGTAAAGTACACTTCCAAGATAAGTGAACTTAGCCACAGTATTTAAAATTTCTCCTTTTGCTGTAACCAATGGTTCCACATACGGATGGTGTGGTACTGACTGGTAGAGAGCCTGTGTTCTCTTGGTGTTGATTGTTACGTCAAAATTAGCACAAGCAGCAGAGATTCGATCCACATTTTTGTTACATCTCAGCTTAAGAGGATGCATTGAGTCATCTGGGAACAGAAACTCAAAACATACAGAAAAGGAAGATAGGTGGTAAAACTAAAGGTACATAGCAGTGTGTTTTGCCCCTCTTTAATATACTTCTGTAATACTGCATATTACTTCTCTTCATATTTGCCATTTATCTCTCTAGACCGTAATCTCTATGCAGGCAGTGACTATATCTTATCTAAACTTCATTATTGTCGTCCCTCATTCTTGAAGAGGACCATGACATCAAGGAGGTGATGCCAATGCATGCTGACTTCCCCACAATGTGCAACACCTGCTGACACTTGCTTGTTAACACCTGTTGGCAAACTTGACCACTGATTGGTTATAACTTGCATTTTGTGTGTTTATTTGGAAAGCAATGTAATCACTACAATTTAACTGTTACACAACAGATGAAACATGTATGGTTTTTCAAAATTTTCTTATCTTCTCTTATTATGCTTCCATCACTCCCTTATTTTTATTTAACAGCCAATTGTACCCGAGGCTACTACCACCTCCCAGGGGGTGATATCGCCCAGTTTGGGAACTTCTGCAAGAGGGATTTCATGGGAAGTACATTTAGGGATTTAAAAAAATTCAAACTTCACACATATAATGAAGGGTCCTTAGCTAGCTGTTACAACCCAGAAATGTGAATGGGAAATGATCATGGGCTCACTGAAGGCCTTCCTCCTGGAGATCATTTATGAAGTGTCCCAAGGTGGTATTTTTGACTAGGTTTCCTTGGATGTTTTTATCATTGACTCAAATGAAGGAATCAATGGCATGTTTATCAAATTAAGAACCACTAACAACCATGACAAGATTAGACTGAAGGACCCAAGGGAAAGATTCCAGTGAATTAGGTAGCATCCCTGTAATGGATTTATGGAAAGATATGGATAAGATAAATTACAATTTGCCTCAGAAGAAGGAGTACCTACTTTTAAAGAGATTAAGGATCATTTGAATTATGTCTACAACATAAAAGTACTACTTTTTCCATGTGACCTTTGTTGATTCTCCTTTTCTTTAAGAACATAGCTAATAGGCTTTATTGATGTCAGTCTTTGTTATTGGAATTGAGTTGTGGCATAAATAGTAATATGTATATTAAAATAAAAGTATACATCAATACACATTAACCTATTATCCACACATATATAAATAAAAGGTTAAAAAGAAAAAATGGAACTAAATCTCTAAGGCCAAATATCTTTTCTTCAATTAATCGATTTGGATTATATAATCCTTGACTGGATAATATATCTCTCTGATCATTTGTGACAACACATTGACTCATAAACTTTTCTGGTTCTAACACAATCCTATTTAGTTACATATCACAACTTTATTTTTAATTTTTTTTTAATGTTTATAGAATCAGCACATAGATTCCTATTTACAAATCTAATATTCTACCAAAATTTGTATTTCTTTGGGAAAGGTAAACTGATAAAAAACATAGTTAGGAATTCAAGTTTTAAGAGGAAGAAAAGTCAACTAGAAACACTTCTGGAATCAGGAGACCCATAGTTCTGGCTCTGTCACTACCCCTGATTAGCTACATAACCTTGAACAAATTATTAAATTCCTCATTGCCATAGTTTCATCATGTGTAATGTGAAGATATTAATAACCACTCCAGCTACTTCATAGGGTTATTATATAAATTACATTATCAGAATAATTTTGAAATGTACCATACAAATACAATTTAAATTGAATGTAACTGTCAAATTGCAAGACTAAAATGTTGCCTACCACATAAATTTTAAAATGAGTATTCTCAGTTAATCTTTCTAAACAGCTCCTTGGACATCAATGTTTATTTTTGCCACATATAAAAAAGACCATCAGTCCACATACTTTTAAACATTTTTTATTTTTTAACAGCTATTCTCCATGCTTATTTGTCTGGCAATCATTATTCTAAGCACAGACAGGTTTAGATTTCTCAGTTCGTAAAAAACAGAGCACAATGTTCATTACAAATTTATCAAACATGACCAATAACAAAATTTAATGAATTATTCTGTTTATAAATTAATAGCACTATTTTCTTGCTGTTTTCCTGAAGAACTCTTGGCTTTTTTAATTAATTGGTACATAAATGAATAAAAAAACATAAGGTTGTCATATTGTCCTTTGTACTTCTCTTTTAAAACAGCAGTGTGGTAATCCACCAAAAAATAGTAAATAGCTTCAATTGTGGAAAGGAAGGTATCTGGTTTTCCTTTTTGATGGCGCCAAAAGCAAGTTTTCCGTGTCTTCAACTCAACTTGTAACAACCCTGTGAAAAAAAAAAAAATCATTGAAGTATGAGTGAACTATTTCCTTTTGGCTAAATAATGCCAATAATTATTAAGATCCATATTTTAACTATTAAGGTTTTTTCCCAAAATAATCAGCACAATTCCTTCCATTTCTAGTTCCAAACAAGGCGTTGTATTCAACGCTTTAGAGAACATGTCACTAATATAAGTTATGCAGAATGATGTTCTTTATATACCATACTGACTAAGTGGAGGAGACTGAATGGTTAACATTTGGGAAACTTATCTGTGTAGGCAAACTATGGACCACTTCTATCTACCCTCCAATTTTTTGTCCTTGTATCCTTACCACCTAGAACAGTGCCTTGCATACAGCAAATGCTTATTAAAATGAACTAAATTTAATTGAGCTACTGGTATGAAAAAGTGATGGAAACCTCAAAGAGAAGTGAATACTCCATCTTCGAATGTGATAAAGGCCAAGAAATCCAGAACAGTGTGACATATACCAGTGCTTAGCACAGATCTGGCACTTAGTTTCTATATTAATTCTATTCCATATTGTTCTATATTAATTTTGTCCTATGGTTCTAGCAAATCTGGAATAGTTTTTATTTAGAATTTCTTAAAAAAATGCTTAGTCTTTTTGAGGGGTTTGTGGCTTTCAGGAAGTCCAACAATTCATAAATTATCTCTTGATCTGTTTTCCAGGTTGGTGTTTTGGTAAGTAAATATCTTAATTATTCTATTTTTTTCCCCTAATATTCCTTTTTTTTTTTGTCTCATAGAGTCAATCGGTCTATTCTTGTTTTCAGAGAGCCCATTACTTGGATTAGGTTTTCCACCTTCTATTCTAAGCTATCTATTTTCCTTTAATTCTTTCTTCTTTATTTCACTTATAATTCCATTTTATCTCTTGCTTTATTTCTTCTGGATACTCTTATAGTTCTGATGGTCAAGCCATTTTTAAATCTGAGGACAGGCCTGTAGCTTTTCTATCATTATTCTCTTCCTCTTGGTTTACCTCTAGGGCACCTCTTGACCAGTAATATTTCATTATTGTTTTTGGTGTCTTCTTCAGTTTACTCATAACCCCATCCTTAGTTCCTCCTATGGATTTTTCATATCACAACCAGGTTCCACCCATTCTTGCACTCTTGGATAGGGTGGTCAGACCTCTTTGATCCTGATCTTGATTTCTTGGGTTGCTGATGCTGGCTTCCACCCTATCTCCTGGTCTGGGGTCTCCCATGTTTGGAACTGATGCAGATTTCCAGAATGTTCACCTGAGCTCACGCTGGCCTCCCTGATAGAGACCCCTTCCAGCATCTGGGGCTTTCTGCCTTTTTTTTTTTTAAGTTATGGGATAGATAAAGGAGCTCACTGATATTTCTCCTTGCATTTCTTGATTATTATTCAATCTGCTTGCTGGAGAACATGTAGAAGAAATTAAGCTCCTCTATGACTTTTTATGGTGCCATCTTCACCAGATGTCTTAGGCAATCTAATTTTAGACACACATGCAAAAACAGTTCTTTTCCCTTAGTTGATTTCCCCCTCCCAATGAGTATTTCATTGATATTTCTAATTAACATGCTATATTTTAACAGCGGCAAAACAGCCAGAGGTATCTCTGCAAAGTCTGTTAGAATAGTGCAGATTTACCCTGTTAAGGTGGTTCTTCACCTTAGTAGTCATAGTAATAGAAACTTTTAGTTCCAAAGTGTTAGGTTTAAGAGTTTTAATGTTAAAAGGTTCCGAGTTGATTTATTTAGCATATTTTTGGCATATTTTCAACAACTTACAAACATATATAAAGCCAAAGAAAATGATTTATTACAAAAATTGATTGTTTCTTATGAAAGTAACTTGGGTTTATGAAGAAATTGACATTTTGGCAATATTACATCCTTACCACATATGCAAAAGCTATAAATTCAAGCAAAACCTCAAGTAATCCTTGTACTGCCAGGGGGCCCACAAGGGGTGTGGAGGAAGAAAAAGGAAAAGAACTTTCCACTAAAGAGTTGTATATTTTGCAATTAACTAAAGGTTAAGGGAATCTGAAATTTCTGCTTAGGATCTAGAATTTAAATTCAGAGTACTGCTTCTATCTTGGATCCCATAATAAAAAATGTTGTACAAATCTAAGATGTAGCACAATTGTATTTAGAAAATATAGAGATTTAGTTGAAGCATTTACTTCTAGCAGCTTTATAGCTTTCCAAGTACTTTGCCATATTTCTAACTGTTCATACATTATCTCTTTCCTTTGACCCTCACATTCCTATGAGATATTTGTAATGAAAACAGCATATGACAGGCTCCACAGAGAAAACTTTCCAGTTGTTTCTGCTCCTTTTCACCACCAAAAGTAATAGGCAAAATAGTTGGGACTGGGATTGTCCAATAAACATGCCCCTGGCCTCACAGTTTTTGTCTTTTTATTTCTTCCATGATACTCCTCTTCTGCCGCATCCTTTATGAAAAATCATATTGTTTAATGTAGAAAAGCTACCATATTACAGTATGGAGATTTGGGGCATGTAAATTATATGCAGGATAGTAATCAAAAGCCTACTCACACTATTCATTTTAGCTTGGCACTGGTTAACACATAAACCAGGCTTTTACATCTCTTTCCAGGTCCTCTTCCTAGTTTACCATTATTTCTAAAAACAATCCAAGTTAAGTTTTCTTCTGTACCTCTTCTGGTCACAGGTTCTTTTTACCTGTGTCACAGGTACAGATTTCAATTCCAGACTGAAATTCCTCTCACAACCTGCCTTCTTAGTATACTGCCAACAGAATTTACCTGAGTTAAATTTTCTCTTTCTTATCACTTGGTGTAGTACGTCAAAATGTTGTGAAGAAACTTGAAGCTTTTAGAAAAACCAGGTAAGAAAGTACAAATAAGTTTGAAGAAAGGACAGTCCAAGATAGGCTCCAAGTGCCCCACCCCCTCATAAAATCCTTTACCACAACTCCAGTTCTTCAAGAATCCCAACTGCCAGTAGAGGTGTCCTTTACCTTAGCTTCCCATTATCCATCCCCTGACCCCAAAGCTGCCCAGACTTCATCTGGGACCACTGGGAAAGAAGAATAACATGGCTGTTCAAACCAGTTGGACAAGCTGAAGTCACCAACTATAGTCCTTTGGATGAGATGGAGGATCACCAGGTCTTACCATTTGCCCTGTCTTTGCACCCTAAGATCCTTTAGGCCAGAGGTGTCAAACCTATAGCCCAGGTTGCGTGCAACTCACAACAAACTGGAGAATAGTCCAAACCACATTAAAATACAATTGGGAAATATGTAACAAAATAAACTGAAATACAACAAAATATAGATAACATTACATTTTGAACCTAAGTCAATACACAGCCCACAGAAATCCTTATATGTGGATTAGTGGCATCCTTCTATTTGAGTTTGACACCACCGCTCTAGATCTTGCCACTTCCCTGGCTGCAAGACCTGTAGAGCCCCAGTGGGGACTGCAATGTGACCTGCTAATGCCCCCTAAGAACCTCTGGGCCATGCCATTCACCCCACTGACCCTTAGGACTGACTTCTGGAGCTCTTTATCCACCCTACACCTGAGCTTTCTTTTACATGTCATCTCTCCCAGTTAAAAGTGTGAGTTCTTTAAGAACAAATACTGTCTTGTCTTTTTTAATTATATCTCCAGAGCTTAGCATAATGCTTAACACAGTAAGCACTCAATACATGATGCTTTTTCATTATTATTACCCAAATATATCTTGATTTTTCTGGCCCTAGTCAGATGAAAGTTATTCTCACTGGGTTAAATAATTAAGGTCCCTTCCAACATGAAAAATCACACGACTGATTCCATATGCACTTTTTTTGCAGGGACGGAAGTGATTGTCACAACTGGTTAAACAGGTATTATTATCAAATGAAAAAACTAAGAATGACACAATTTAAGTTAGTGAATTATACAAGATCACAGTGTAAAGCAAAGGCACGAGCAAAGACCAAAACCTAACTCTCCTAAATTTTTAGTTCACTCTACTTTTCTCTATAGCTTATCCTTCATTTTATTTCCCTTAGTGCCAATTCACTCAATACTCAACTTGTTGTTCAGACATTTCAGTTGTATCTGACTCTTTGTGACCCTTTGCCATTTCCTTTACAGTAGAAACTTACATGGAAACTTGCCATTTTACAGATGAGGAAACTGATGCAAAGAAGGGTAAATGACTTGCCCAGGGTCACACAGCTAGTAAGTGTCTGAGGCCAAATTTGACTCAGAAAGATGAGTCTTTCTCATTAAAGGCCTGGCACTCCATCCACTGTGCCACATAGGTGCCCTTGATACTCTCCTTACCCTACTGTAAGCTGCTCTGGCTAAAAAGTTCCAACATCTCTTTTTTCCCTCTTAATTTCAATATTTTTTCCAGAAAATCTGCTGATTAAATTTATTTTGATCAATTTCAGAAAAATACAACTTTGTTTTTGTTAATAAAAGGAATCAACTAACAATAAACCCAATATGATGGATATAACCATAAAGACCATTTTGGCTATGTTTATAGCAGAAGCAGTCAAAGTTTATGGTCCTGTTAATGTTAAGGCCCTGGAAATAGTGAATCTAGCTGCTTATGGGTCTTTAATGAATGAGGTGTGGTAAATCAAACTAACCATAACTTTTTATTATCTTGCTATGGACAAAAAAATATATCCTTCAACATTAAAGATGATGACAAATAGCCTGGAAAATGGAAAATAAACTTTATTTTAGGTAATATACTATAGAACTTCATGTCATAAGAAAAAGCTTATATGTATACACAAGAATTCTGCTGAAACAAGTAATTGTTTTAATATAATACAACCTTATTTATCCAATCTCTACCTATCCATATCTTTGGTTTTCCTAGTTTGTTTTGCAGACTACACTGAAAAGTACCAAATGCAAACATATGAAAAAGGATTCTTTTTACTCTATTGAGATTTTTATATTTCTGTACTGCGGTCAAATATATACAGCTGCATTCAAAGCAAATTAGATCAAATAAATTAGGTAAGTTTCTACTGTGTGCATGACACATTTTTATATGTTTAGGAGTCTTTTTACCTTGAAGTCGTTCATCAGTAATTATTTTGTGGGTCTGGTTCCAGGTACTATCTATAAATACAACTTTCTTCAGCAAGTTGCTGTCTCTCCTGTTGCTGTCCTCTGGATCTCGATTCTCTTCTACTTCCATTTTTTGGCGCTTACTGGGTAGTTTGTCAGGGCTGTCATTTTTGTTACTATACAAAGCATTACTTGGAATGTGTTTATGCAAATGAAGAGAAATATCTTCTACTGAGACAGAATTGGGACCAGGAAAAACAAGTACAATCTAGAATGAAGAAAAGTCAGATCAATCACGTCCTACATGGGCTCTTAAAAACTAAAGTTGATGCATACTGATATATTCATATTTAGTAAAACTGACTTCAAACTGTTTTAAGGGAAAAATAATTAGTCAATAACATTGGTCAGTTAGTCAATAACATTGATTTATTATCTATTATTTGTATAAGTCCTTTAGTACATATGATAACACTTGGATTTCAATTAGATTTTATTTCCAATCTAATAGGGAGGAGCAGAGTTGGAGTGAATTTTTATATAGAATGACACAGATATCAGCAAGAAATGCCACCTGACAGCTTAAGTGCAACAAAGGCAGACACAACCACTATACAACACAGCAATATGGAGTCACTTTAGTACCTTATTATAGCACAGAGTGTAATTAATAATGTTCATAATTATGACCCCAAGGCTTCAAGAAATGGCTAAATTCAATCAGCAAGCATTTCTAATGGTCTAAGTGTATAGGCACAGACCTAAATACAATGATATATTCTCTCTCTGTACATATATATATACACACACATATATGTGTATGTATATCTATATATTTGTGTATATATATATGTATAAGTGTGCATATATATGAAATATAAAGAGAAATGGCAGTCCTGTCATTCAAGGTGCATACAATTCAGTAGAGAAATACACAAATTATTATTCTATTATAATATTATGCCATAATATTATAAATCATATTCAGTGTACCAATTTGGAAGATAGGGAAGTATAAGATACATATTAGAAATATTTCCATTTTGAATAGTTTTTTTAACCATTTGAAAACTCTAAAAGACAAAGTTTTTTTATAAAATATTCTGCTTAAAGGAGCAAGCATGAGTTACTTGGAATTTTTATTCTTCAATAATACTCAGATAAATAAGCTGTTCTTGTAGGTAGTTCTTGAAAAGTTACTTTTAAGTACCATGTGAGACACACTGAGAAAAGGTAACCTACTTCATGCTTTCTTTCTTCATATTCTGGAATGCAAGGATATGTATAAAGATTCACGTCTTCAGGTGCTAAGAGTTTAGCATGTGCTGCAGTACTTTTGCCATCTGTCTCATGAGGATGTTTAATGATATCAATCTTCAATGGAAGCTGGAACAAATTAAAAAAACAAGAGTAAAAAGCTAATTTTCATGTTAAAAATATATGCCTGTTTTCTTAGAAAAGACCGTATGTGTTTTTAAGCCAAACTATTAAGTTCATAATAAATTCCCAGACATGCTTTTAATTAACTAAAAAAGAATCTGAAAGTCAGTCTTGTAAGCACGTCTTTAAAACTAGCCTGCTTTTTAGCTAAGAATATTAAGAATGGCTGTGTCATAAAGCAAATACACACATTTCTTCATTGATTCTGTCAGTGTGCAATGGAACAATTTTCAACTCATTTAATATTTGCTCTAAGAGCAAAGACTCCAGTGACATTTTCATTAAAATTACTCAACTATTTAGAGTCTAATTACCAGCAGTACAGTGTTTGTGCTGAGAACATTTTTTATAACTTCTAAAAATTCTGGGTGGGCGTCATGCTATTTAAAAATAGAAACAGTAACGTGTTAAGTTCAGATAATTTTGTATCTTTCACGACTATTAAAAAAATCTTTTGGATGAAGGCTATTTCGATTTAAAATGCTGTCCTTAATCCATTTCTGAAAAAGATTTTTTTGTTGCTACCTGGTGTACCTTTTCAGAAGTGATATTGCTTAGTGATGGACATTTATTCCCAATAAGTTCAAGATGTTTTGCTTAATTTCATTATAAGGAATAGTTCTATCATAGTTTGTAACAAAGGATATTAGAAGGTACATACATTTCTTAATCCTATGTCACTTTCCCTGCAGCACCATCTAGAACAGAGTTTCTCTTTTTTTTATTCATTAAGTGTATTTTTTATTAATTTATTTTTACTTATCAACCATCACTTCCATAAACTTTTGAGTTTTAAATTTTTCTCCCCCTCTTTCCCCACTTCCCTCCCCAAGACGGTGTGCAATCTGATATAGGCTCTACCTATACATTCCTATTAAACATATTTTCACATTAGTGATGTTGTAAGGAAGAATTAGAACCAATAGGAGGAACCACAAGGGAAAACAAAACAAAACAGGAGAAAAAAATAGCAAATAGTATGCTTCCATCTGCATTCAAACTCCATAGTTCTTTCTTTGAATGTGGATAGCAATTTCCATCATGAGACCTTTGGAGATGTCTTAGATCCTTGTATTGCTAAGAGCTAAGTCTCTCAAAGTTAGTCATCGCACAATGTCGCTGTTACTGTATACAACATTCTTCTGGTTCTGCTCACTTCACTCAGCATCAGTCCATACAAGTCTTTCCAGGTTTTTCTGAAGTCCGCCTGCTCATCATTTCTTATAGCACAATAGTATTCCATTACATTACAACTTGTTCAGCCATTCCCCAATTGATAGGCATCCCCTCAATTTTCAATTCTTTGCCATCACAGAAAGAGCTGCTGTAAATATTTTTTTATATGTGGGTCCTTTTCCCATTTGTTTGATCTCTTTGGGATACAGCCCTAGAAATGCTATTGCTGGGTCAAAGGGTACGCACATTTTTATAGCCCTTTGGGTATAGTTCCAAATTGCTCTCCAAAATGGTTGGATTATTTCACAACTCCACCAACAATGCATTAGTGTTCCCATTTTCCCACATCTTCTCCAACATTTATCATTTTCCTGTTTTGTCATCTTGGCCAATCCGATAGGTGTGATGCGGTACCTCAGAGTTGTTTTGATTTGCATTTTTCTAATCAATAGTGATTTAGAGCATTTTTTTATACGACTACAGATGGCTTTAGTTTCTTCATCTGAAAACTGCTTACTCATATCCTTTGACCATTTATCAATTGGGGAATGACTTGTATTCTTATAAATTTGACTTAATTCTCTATATATTTTAGAAATGAGGCCTTTATCAGAGACACTTTGTAAAAATTCTTTCCCAATTTTCTACTTTCCTTCTAATCTAGGTTGCATTGGCTTTGTTTGTGCAAAAACTTTTCAGTTTAATGTAATCAAAATTATCCATTTTGCATTTTGTAATGTTCTCTATCTCCTGTCTGGTCATGAATTCTTCTGTAGAACAGAGTTCTTAACCTGAAATCTATGAACTTTTTTCACCTTAATATTTTTTTTTTTTTGCTTAACTATCCATCCATTTTACTTTTTTCTCCACAGAAATAATTTTTATTATAAAAAGGTTGTGAAGCCATCACTACATAAGTTCCCCTTGCAAGATTAAATACTTTGAGGTAGTACTGTGACTTAGTTCTTTTCTTTTTTTAATATTTTATTTTTCCCCACTTACATGTAAAGACAATTTCTAACATTCATTTTTGTAAAAATTTGAGTTCCAAATTTTCTCCTTCTCTCTCTCACCTACCTCCTCCCTGAGACGATAAACAATTTGGTATAGGTTATACATGTGCAATATAAAACATTTTCACATTAATCATGTGAAAGAAGGCAAAGACCCAAAGGGGGAAAAAAAAACAAAAGAAATAAAGAATGGGAAAAATAGTAAACTTTGATCTACATTCAGACTCCATCAGTTCTTTCTCTGGAGGTAGATAGTATTTTTCATCATTAATCCTTTAGAACTGTAATGAATCACTGTATTGTTCAGAATAGCTATGTCATTCACGGTTGCCCTTAATGTTATGATAAATGTGTTTCAATATAATTGGTACCTGTGTATTCCTTTGTATCTTATTTTATGCTTTTAAAAACGTTATTCTGAGAAGGGGTTCCTAGGTTTTACCAGTGTGCCAAAGAGGTCCATGACATAGAAAAAGTGAAGAACACTTGATCTAAAACCACATATACATAAATATTCTTTCATGGAAAGCCTCAGCTTTAATATAGGATTGACTCATATCTTGCCCTGATCTGTTACCATGGTTATTAATGGCCTCCTGGAAATATTTCTTGCATCTGCAAAAAACAGATGATGGGGACCTGTTTCTCTCACTCTTAAAAAAAAATCATTTTAAGTAAATATACTATGCCATCTTTGTAAAGAATTTCACTGAATCATGACTTGTCACAACTAGACTAAAATTCACATTTTTCCTTTTATGAAATTTTCTCCCCCTCTGTGGACTTTCCCTGTTTGGTGTTCCATGTTTCAAGTATTGGCTATGTCAACATGCACTTCTACCTATTTAAGAGGTTCTCTGTACAATATACTGCTAAGCTTTGGATTTCTCTAAATCACTGAGTAATTGTAACTTATTCCATAAGATAGTGTGGCATAAATGAAACCTGGCCTCACAGCTACAAAGTCCTGGTTTTAAGTCCTGCCTATGACACTTACCCTTACCCTGGGAAAGTCACTTAAACTCTTAGTGCTCTAGAGAACTTTACGAAATTAAAAGTTGCAGAGAAAGTACTACTACCTGCCATTAATTGTAGGTAGAGTTCCCTAAACTAATGAAATCATATGTCCAACTCTGATAAAATTTGATTGGGGAGGGCTGGGCTTCAAGTTGCCAAAGACATTACTTATTGGCAGGCTGGTTTATTATTTTCTTGTTGTTGTTGTATAACGAAGGCAAGCAGACAGGATGAGAAAAGGCCTGCATGTGGGTACACACACATGATTTATGTGTATACATATATACATGTGTGTGTATATATACATACATATATATATATGTATATATCTCCCACACATTATTTATGCCAATCTCAAGTCTCATTTAAGTTAACAAGTTTATCTATTACTGGTTATTCACAACTTGGTATCAATTGCTTTACAGAGATTAACAAGTAACTAAAATGAACCATAGTTGGGAGTTCTTTATTGTTGGGGAGGAGGATTTACATTGACAAATTATACATCCATGTAATTTTCACATGGGAAAAGAGAACTAATCAAGGAAGAAGTGAAGAGCTGTGAATGAGAAGACCAGCATGATTCTGTGAAGAAGAAAAGGAGGAAGGGGTTCATACCAGCACAGTTCAAGCTCATCTTTTGACGCAATGCCCTGTGTCTCCCTACAACTTCTTCCTCTCCATCTTCTGAGTACCCACTGGATGTGGTGGGGAGATGGATAATGCATCAGAAACCATATCTATATAAACATATCTATACAAATGAAGGAAGTTTTATCCAGCATCATGCAGTAGGCTGCAATTTAGAATTCTATAACTTTAGTAATAGGAAAGACATTGGAGTCAAATCTCCCACCCAATCAACTTACGTTAATTTTCCTTCCAGGTCTCTGCATTTATAGCCCTTTGGCAAATACACTGTGCATTTATAGCCCCCTGCCAACTACACTGGCTGGGTATTCCTCTGCTCCTACACTGAGTTTGGCCCCATGGTCCCTGCCTTCAGGGTCTCTAAATTTCAGGCCAACAACAGTATTGCCCCTGTCTGCTGTCCTGTGGTTGGTCAAGTTGTAAGAAAGAGAAGAAAAGGACAAAGTTGAGTCTGATGAATAGAGAAGACCAAGGAGAAGAGAGAAATAAAACATTGTGCTCCAGAGCTATAAAAACAATCCTGCTAACTTGTGCTGGCATCCTTCACTCCTACTTACGTGTTGCTGAATGGGAGAAATCATGACCTGCTGACAAGGTCCACTACAATCCAGCCCATGCTGCCTACTTGTTGTACCTCACACATAACAGTTCATCTCCCATCTTTGCATCTTTGCATTGGCTGTGCCTAGTGACTGGAATGCTTGTCTCCTCACCTGACTTTTAAAATCCCTGGCTTTCTTCAAAACTTAATTTAAATGCCCCCTTTTGCAAGAGGCCTTTCCTGGTCCCCCTAACTAACAGTGCCCTCCCATCAAATATAAGTATCCATTTACTCTGTATCTATTATCTGACTATTTATATAAATTAAAAGGTAAACTCCTTAAAGTCACAGGCTGCTTTTATCTTTTCTTTGTATCCTCAGCCTCAGTGTCTGGCATATAGTAAGAGCTCAATAAATACTTGTTAATTAATTGACTTAGCAAACCAGTCCTGAAGGCAGTTCTAAATGAGACATTAGAAAAAAAAGTGAGAAAAGTAACTACTTGGAAGACAACGTTCCCTTGAATATTTAAGTACTAATATGTATGT